TTTTCCCCTGCGGCTGGGGCACAACGCAGCACAAAATGCAAACGAGCCGTGTGCCCGGAGCCGATTCTGGGCACAGACACACAAACAAGCGTGGTTCCCTGCCCACTCTGCACATTCCACGGCTCAGGATGACGACGCACGAGGGCGGAGACGTAGTCCAACAGGGGCGCATTCTCACTGGTCCAGGAAGACAGCAGCCACCAGAGAGCCAAGAGGAAAGCCCACACGTCGGACCTGACCTCTGACCCAAGTCACAATGGAGGGGAAAAGAAAATCTTCAAGTCGCCTACCAGGAGTCTTGTTCCCATGTGGTTTGTTTCTTACTGTCAAAATTCCAAAACCCAGTCTGCTGCCATTTCGCCGATTCCTACCCCTAGCAGCCCTCTAGGACAGACTAGAACTGCCCCACAGGATTGCCACGGCCATAAATCTTTATGGAAGCAGACGGCCACATCTTTCTCCCACGGAATGGCTGGTGGGTGACCCACCAACCTATCGGTGAGCACTTGAGAGCTTAGCCACTGCACTACCGGGGCTCCTTTCTTCCCATCAGGAGGAAAGAAAAGGTAGCTGAGTTATATAACTGTAGCTTATTGCTCGGTTCCATTTTGTTCTCTAAAAAGAGTATGACCGCAAACCAAGGTCATCACTTTGCAGGTGACAGGCAAAGTGAAACCATAAAAACCCAAACCCACTGCCACAGAGTCCATTCCAACTCATAAGGACCCTATAGGATAGAGCAGAACTGCTCCATAAGGTTTCTAAGGCTGTCAGTCTTTAGGAAAACAGACTGCCTCATCTTTCTCCCGAGGAGCAGCTGGTGGGTTCAAACTGCAGACCTTCGGTTAGCAGCTGAGTGCTTTAACGACTACACCGCAAAGCCCCATGCAAAGTAAGTACACCCAAAATCCACTCACATGTCCAAAACGTGATCCTTATGTATTCTTCACCCTGGGGCCATGAGAACCACGACCTGAGCCTCACTTCTTGGCCCCCCAAAGCATTCCATCTGCAGGGATCTAGAAAGAACTCCAGTCAACCAGAACCCACTTTATCAGTGGGGAACCTTGCGCCTGAGCGAGTAGACGCTGGCTCTCCCAATATCAGAAGCTGATGTGTCCACGTGGGGGATAACATGGGGATCATTCCTGGTGCTTTCTGCACAGAGCGTTGCCTCCCATCTCCACCTGAGCCCATCCACGCAAGACAAGGTTCACCTGGCAAGTATCATCTTACCTGCAAAGTGTGATGTACCTGATATATTTTAAATTGATTCGAGGGGTTTTTATATTTGTGTTCATCTGTAAACCTAAGCCCCTTCACTCACACCTCAGTGCCAAAACAGTGCCTGGCAGGTAGCACACACCATCCACCAAGCAAAGTCAAGTTCGAAGTTGGCAATAAATGCCCCGGGCCATGGCCCAGTGTCCCTTCCTCTGTGAGTGCCTTCCAAAGATGCTTATGATACTGTGTGACACAGAGTGGAGTACTTCTATGACAGGAGAGTCCCTGGGTAGTGCAAATGGCCATGCAAAGGCACTCACTGCTAACCAAAAGGTTAGAGGTTCAAGTCCAGCCAGAGGCACCTTGGAGAAAAAGCCTGGCAATCAGCTTCCAAAAAATCCACCATTACCAACCCTGAACAGGACGGCCACGAGCCAGAGTGGACTCAACAGTGTAAGGTTACATTCCACGCAATCCATACATCAGGCCACCACTTACAGGGCAAAAACTAGTGCTTCTTATTCATGTTCACCTGAGCCAGACTGTCATCGACCCATCTAACCAAGGCCATTCCAGGGTGGAGGGTCCTCTGGGCCAAAGCCCCAAAAACAAAGGGACAGGAGCTGAAAGTGTGAGCTCAGCGTCACACTTGGCTTGTCGTTACTGGTGAGCACTAAACCCCCACACAACTCAATAGAAACTCACACTGACCCTGCTGCAGGCTGCAGCCAGCTCCCCGAGAGGCCCCCAAGCTGAGCCTCTAAAGGGTTTCTGGAATCCTCAAGGGCCTGTTTGCGGCTCCGGCCCCTAGCAGCCCAGGCTCCTGGAGGGAACAGCCATCTCTCCTCATCTGCAAACTGCCCACAACCTGCGATGCCTTTTTTCTGTGTTACACCAGCAGAAATCCCCGCTTCTCCTCCAGAGGCCCCATTCCACAGCAGGTAGGGGCCATCACTTCCTCACCAGGACATCAGTGAGTCCACAGACACCTCAGGCCTTGACGTCGTGAGCTGTTAGTTATTTGGAGTGGGGGGGGGAGCTATGTTGGGCCCTATCTGACAGAAGTATGGCTGGTCACTTGTCAGAGTCCTCAGGACAAACCCCCTTAGCACCCCCACCATTACTAAGGCCAACCCATTTGTTAGGTCTTAAGTGTCCCCTCCCCTGGGGAGCATTTCCAAACCCCCAATTATCCAATTTCCGTGCAGTCTCATCACACCTGCCATTTGTTGTTGTTGTTGTTATGTGCCGTCAAGTCAGCCCTGACTCATAGCGACCCCTCCTTGGGTTTCCGAGGCAGTATCACTACGGAAGTAGGATTACCCAACCTTCCTTCCGGTTTCCGAGGCAGTATCACTACGGAAGTAGGATTACCCAACCTTCCTTCTGAGGAGTGGCTG